AGGAAGATGAGGAGTATGGAACAGAGTCTCAAAAGCATACAAGGCTTGAGTGGACAGAAAAGTATATCCTATGCCGACTTATGCATGTTCCCTCATGTACACCTACCATTGGGATTCAAAACCCCAAAATTTGCGAAGTACGATGGGCATGGTGATCCTATTGCTCATCTCAAGAGATATTGCAATCAGCTGCGAGGAGCCGGTGGAAAGGAAGAACTACTCATGGCCTATTTCGGAGAAAGTCTGGTTGGCATCGCATCTGAGTGGTACATGGACCAGGATATATCCCACTGGTACATCTGGGATGATCTTGCTAGAGATTTCATAAGGCAGTTCCAGTACAACATTGATATTGCTCCAGATAGGAACTTATTGACAAACTTGAAAAAGAAATCCTCAGAAAGCTTCCGAGAGTACGCAGTTAAATGGCGTAAGCAGGCATCCAGGGTAAAACCTCCGATGGATGAGGTTCAAATGGTCACAGTTTTCCTTCAAGCTCAGGAAGCTGACTACTTCCAAAATATGATGTCCGCAATGGGTAAACCGTTCGCTGAAGCTATCAAGATTGGCGAAATGGTTGAAAATGGGGTAAAGCCGGGTCGAATTCTAAGCCAATCTGCTATTAGAGCTACCTCCCAAGCCATTCAGGGTGGGTCTGGAGGAATAGCAAAGGGAAAGAAAAAGGAAGAAACATCCATGGCAGTGTCGGGTGCAAGGAGAAACTGTACTCCCAGATCCCTTTTCTTAGAAAGGACCCCGCAGCACTATTACCCTCACCAAGACTTGGCCTATACTCCTCAGCCATACTCGGTCATGAATGCTCAGCCTTATGTCCGGCCACAACAACAAGCCAACAGAAATCAAGCTCCATTTCCTAGAAACCAACCTCCTTACCAAACCCACTACAACCCCCGTCCTCCACAAAATAATTTCCACCCTCATGAACCGCCCAAGAGGCCAAATTTCACACCAATTGGTGAAACCTACTCCAGCCTGTTACCAAAGCTTGTTCAAATGGGTCTGCTACAGCTTGTTCCTCAAACCAGGCAAAACCCAGCATCACCCGCTTATAGAGCCGGTACCCGATGCGCCTATCACTCAGGGGCAGAAGGGCATGACACGGATGATTGCTGGACTCTGAAAAGAGCCGTGGAGAACTTGATAGAACAAAGGAAGATAGTGCTGAGGGATGAAGATGTTCCCAATATGACCAACAACCCACTGCCAGCCCACAACAACGGGCTGGTAATTGGAATGATTTGTGAGGATAAGGAATTTGACCCAGCATTGAAGGCCATCATTGCCATTGCTGACGAAGAAAAGAAACCAAAAGCTGCCCCGAAGCAAGATAAAGGGGAGAAAAAGAAAGAAACCACCCCTCCAAAGTCAGAGAAGAAAATTGAAGTTGAAACCGGGGCAACGCCTCCCAAAGATGTTGTTCTCTACGTCCCTCAAGGCCGTAAAGAAAAGCAGATGACATTGAGTCCTCCCAGGAGATTCGAGCTGAACAAAACAACCCAGATGTATGTGCCTAAGGGGGCTTATGTGATGCGGGGGCCAATTAAGCCATCGAGGCTAAATGAGCCCGTGGTTATTGGACGCGCGCCACAGAAGCCCATGAAAGATCCTACTACTGTGCCCTGGAACTACAACAAAACGGTGGTGACCTATAAGGGCAAAGAAATCCCAGGAGAAGTTCAAGAAAATAACCCTATTGAAAAGTATTCCAATTTGGAAGAGGTGAACAACGCTACTAGAAAGCGCTTCCCACTTAAGAAGCCCGTGAGTGCCGAAAAAGCGGAGGCTTTCTTTCAAAACATGAAAATGGCAGATTATGAGGTGATTGACCAACTTCGAAAATTTTCCGAACAAGTCTCCTTGTTGGCTTTGTTGATGAACTCCGCCGAACATCAGAAGGTATTGATCAAGACCCTTAACGAAGCATATGTGCCT